TTTAAGAGTAACATTTCTGGCCTACAGCAGCGCCCCCGAGCCGACTAGATGTTTCTACGGTGGCTGCTGTAAGACGACTAATTGGCGCAGCAAAACTGCAAAAGAAGCAAGAGTAAGGTTCTTGTATAGTCCTGTAGCAGGGTACAGTCAGTCTAGTTGTGAAGTTTCTAAGTGCATTCATATCCAGTCGACTGGTCATTTAGGTGTGGTTTTCTGCGCTGAATTAGGATTGCTTCGATTATTTGTAATCTGTTGAAGTCTGGTTCGTAACGAGCCAGAACCCAATCCTGTTAGGTTGTAGTGAATACATATTAATTGATGTTTTGTTAACTGCAGGGTGCGACGTGAACTTCAAAATTTTTTTCAAGATAGTAAAAAGTTTTTTATGCAGCGTGAATGACGGATTTAAAGGTCTTGACCGGATGGCAGCACGCATCCCAATTCCTATTCCATCTAATACGAGGCCAGATGAGGACTAACGTAAATTGGGGACATGGTTAATCCATGCTTCCATGGGTTAATCCTTCTGCAGGAAAGCCTTTCCGTTGTCATGAATTATTTCCGTCGAGTTCCTTAACCCTTCTCTACGGTATTGCGTGCCGTTGCAAGGTATGCCTAGCTAGCTGTGTAATGCTTAAACTTTAGTTTGTCGTTACTCATGGAAATAATAAAAAATTAGTATTTATAGAATTAAATTAGATGCATAGAAAAAATAGTCGTGACTTGAAATACCGAAAGAGTCACTCCACAGTGCGATTCATTCGCCAATATCTTCATGTATAAAGTAGCTTTAATTCTGGTTGAGTCCCTAACTGAAACTGGAAGAAGTAGTTCATCGTCAAGTCTGGACTAAAATGCACCAACGAATTTTTTCTGCTTGAGCGTTACGTTACTTGGCGAGTGCAGCTTCGTAACGTGACTGTCCATGAAAAAATTCTGTGCGTACGTTACTCGTCAACAATTTGCATTTGCTTCAGTCATGGGATGGCGAGAAAAACTTTTGTGTTTATTCAGAAGTGCGCCTAAACGCGAGAATGTAGTTAAGAGTGTCACTGCTGAGAGGCTCTGAACACGTTCGTTTCAGTTAAAATATTTCTGAGTAAATTGAGATCTCCCATAAATATTGTCAATTCGCCATAAGATACCTAGGTCTTGAATATACATCCTCAAGGTCACGAGATGCAAGCTTGAAGATAAGCTTGTACGCGTATGCAGGGAATTTCGACAAATGGAAGCAACTATTCAGTTCGACTGTACTCCCCTAAAATTAACAAGCGCACCTAAACGCCGAGCAGGAGCCCAGAGCCGCGGGCCTAGTAGTGGGCTCGAGTCTCGCCAGGCGAGTTCAGCAGCTTTGCCAGATGGTATATTTCTATACCAAATTTCACAATCTGGTATTTTCAGAAGGTGTCTGGTATGAATATTTTAGATCTGGTATATTGGTATATTTGCCTATATCTGGTATTTTTCTGGTGTTTTCTGGCTTACTGCATTAAGTTCCACTTCGGAAGTTTGAACTTCCTCCAGCGAAGGCGCGAATTATATAGATTACCTTCAGAGCGGCGCGACTAGAGCTTTCCCGCCATATTTGGACCCGCAAGTTTTCCGCTTGATGAAATAACCCCAATCTAATTGTTAACATTTAACAACAGTGTTTAGTACAATATAAGCACGAGAGTGACGATCCTTGATTAATTACTGATCAGTGGTGATATGGACTAGGACGAGTGAGGTTGTCGAACCGATCTCTGCGACGCAAACTCACCATTTTTGTTTGGTGGTTTTGAATTCTAGTGTGCCCACTTATTGGAGTGCNGATTGTGTGCGTCGACTTGCTTCTTTGTCGGATATATGCGCAGTGCTCGTTCAGTGGAGACCTCTCCAGGGGTTTCTCTAACTTTTCCCATCAGTACGCCCATGTGATGTGCTTGAAGTTCTCCGATTCTTAGTGCATACAGTACATCGATGAACGTCGTATCACATTGCCGTCGCATATTCTGCATCTATTTTATTAGTCTGAAAATGTGCCATAGATGTGTAGCTGGTACCATATGTTGTGGCTGACCAAACACCTAATGAATGGCTACAATTGGAGGGAGCTGCATCAATCTTTGAAGACTAGGACATAGATAGCACAGAAGGGCTCTTCGTTGTTTCAGGCGTGCGTCTATCATACAGAGTATCTCATAGGCTACCATGGATATCTTGTCTATGAAGAAGAACTCTACATCTTTCCATTGTAGTCTCATTTGTGCGTAAGAAGTTGCCTGTGAGATGTGATATCACTGGTATGTAGCTGTTAACTCTTCCAGTCTTCTGAACAGGAAGCTTCAGTAGGCTATGTAATGTCCGCCCGCCTACTAATCGTGCTCAAACGCCAGTTAACGCTGCTACTTAAACGCATGTTTTCCATATCATCTATTGACTTGGTTCTTGAGTAGGTTGAAGACAAGGTCTTTCCAGTTCCGGCACCTCCTGTGATGAATAGCTTCTCGCGGTTTGTATTACCATCAATTTGTTCATGAATGCTGCGAGTTATGTGTACGAATATTTCTCGTTGTTTATTATTCATGTCTCGCTGTGCCGCTGTGAACTGATTATCTGTGATAGCATTGTCAGCTACTTCTTATTCTTCATGTTCGAGTATTTCGAATGTATAGACGTGATTGAATGCATTTTTCCATTGCCGATCTCGTTCTCTGTATGTCGACTTGTTTCCTTCAATCGCTCTTCTCATGCTAGGAATGTGTCTTTCGATGTGACGTGGTCTTCGTTCAATTCTTTTTCTTGGCGATATGGCATTTACTGAAGGAGACTGTAGTAGTAGTTTTCTGTATCATTTGCTGCTACGAACAATGAGACTCTTACAACATTTCTGACTACCATTTTCGTGTTATCCGTGAGCGTGATTAATTTCTTTCTTCTGCAGCTTTCTGGCTCAGTCTCATACGCGGCTTCATAAATGCCTTCCTCGTTATCATTCTGCTGCTTTTGACAATGAGGCTAGAAGAGTATTGCAAATTCAAATAAGCTCACATTGTCGAAGTTATAGTCGGATGTGCGTCTGGTCTTTGCTCGTAGCGATCGAAGATTTTCTTAGCATATTCTGCGAAGCAAGTCCTTGTTCATTGAATTGAAACATTCTGTAGCGTTGCTCAGGCTTGCGTGTGTTCAGAAACATGTCTTTTTTGAGCTGTCTTGCATCTGAAGATGACACAGACGATATACGCATTCACACGCCGATACTTGTTCATTTAGTGTCCGCATGCTTATCTTGAAGAGCTTTCGTGCGATGTTCTCTTCCCTGCGGATTTGCTGTTGCTTGGGCTACGCTGGCATCGAGCTCAGTAAGTTCTGCCTTAGTCATGTACTTTGCGACGTAGAATTCTATTGCTTCATTTGATCCGCACGGTTGAATGTCCATGTTACCTTGCCACGGCTTCAGAAGAGTTGTATTGTAGTTGTTGAACCGCTGCGTTTTTTTTTACGCTGGCGGTATTAGCCGCCTTGTTCACAAGGGGCTTTACTGCTTCAGTCACGGTATTCTGAGCAGTAACCACTGGGCCACTCAGCACCTAGATCGCGAAAAATTTGCATCAAAAAGTGGAAACAAGGGTAAATACTGTCATGACTAAAACCGATTTCGAAGGTAAATTATTTATATTAATACGCCAATAATTAATCCAATTTATATTCACACTAGACACAAAGAACGCATCAATGAGCAGCTAAAGAAGCAAAGATTGCTAGAGACCATTTGCGTGAACTAACCAATCTTGCGAGAGGTCGTTCGCGCTAAATTGTACAAACTACTCTTCAGAGCTGGAATATTTTGAAACTACTCTTCAGAGCTGGAATATTTTGAAACTACTCTTCAATACAAACTACTCTTCTTCTAAATTATACAAACTACTTCTGCTCCTGACAGTTTAGTGCATTCTTCTGCATGTTGTTGCAGTGTGCTAATTATTTTCTTAGCTCTTTTCACTGCATTCTTTATCAAATTTTCCAGTTCTATCTCGTATTCTCGATCTTCCTTCGCAATTCTTTTTACTTTCATCATTATGCTTCGAGAGCTCGCCGATGTCCAACTACTACTGCTCTCCTCAGATGTCTATTTTATTAGTCTGAAAATGTGCCGGGTTTTCAAACGCAACGTCAGCTAAGGTAGCAGACTTCTTGAGGTGATTGACTGCAACATCTAACGAATCTACGCTAAATTCAATAGCAAAGTTCATATCTATCAAAAGTGGAAGTTGAAATTCACCCAACCCATCATTCAAGTTCAGACACAAGCTAGCTTCAGCAAATTTACGTACTCCACTATCAAGGAAAGAACTAACTACAAAATCCTTCTCACCCGCACCCTCTAGGAAATCCTATCCTATCTAAACAAGCAGCACTGACATAAGATAGCTGGGACCCTGTGCCTATCAAACACCTCACGGGTGTAGAAAGTTTGCCACGAGAAAGGGTGACGGTAATGGTGGGCAAAAGATGATCATCCTTACCAGAAGGCAGAAGACGAGTTCAAACACCAGTTCTTCTGAAGGCTAACCCGATACCTGGGGCACAAAGCAGAAATGTGATTCTTACTCTTGCAAATGACACAATCATAATCTAGCTTGGTTTTACATTCCAGACTCTGATGTTTAGAGCTGGAGCAATTGGTGCAAAGATGCAACTCCCTACACCTATCCAACCTACTCTGTAAGGTTGGAAATTTAGTACACTTCATCATGGAATGGTCAGGAGCAGAACAAAACTTACAAAACTTTACGTGTGAAATCTTTAGAATGAGAGGCAATACCTGCGTTTTGATTCGCAGGCTTAGGTGGAAATGATTTGGGTTTAACAGCATTTGAATCTGGCTTAGGTTTATCCCTAGATTTATGTTTCAAAGTTAAGGTTCTAATAAGGTTCGAAACAAATATAAATAAAAAATCCATACAATTTGCAATACCAATATCCCACCGGGGCACAGACTGACCCAAGAGGAGATGCGGAACCTGCACGAGCAGCTGCCGCGACCCTTCCTAATCCTCGGAGACGTCAATGGCAAGCACACTGCTTGGGGCAACATCATAGATCAAAGAGGGAGGACTATTGAACACTTTATAACAAACTGCAACATCTGCCTCTTGAACACGGGCGAAACCACCCACCTGCATGTACAGACGGGCACAACATCAGCCATCGATCTGAGCCTATGCATACCCGACATCGTCAACAACGCCCGTTGGTCGGTGATGAGCGACACGTATGGCAGCGACCACTTCCCTATACAGATTGACTTCGCGATCCACCAGCCCCTACCCAGAGCCCAGATACATCATGAAAAGAGCCGACTGAAAGACCTTTAGAGCACTAACCCGCATGCCGGAACCAGAACTGGACTTGGGCAAAACTGGACTTAGAACTGGACGAAACCAGAACTGGACTTAGAACTGGACAGTAGACGAAATGACAAGAGACTTCACAGACACCATCCTAATGGCAACGAATATAGCGGTTCATCGCTCCAAAGGTGGAGCTGTCCGTCACCGTGTCCCATGGTGATGACTGCGCTTGCGCAAACCTAGGAAGGAAACGAGCCTTACGCCGTTTACAGCGCACTGGCAACATTGCTGATAAAAAATACTTAAAAAAACTTTTTTAAAAAACCACGTTTTTCTTGTGGACTAAAAAGTTGAAAATAAATTATGGTTCGCCCCAAAAAACGTGTGTCGGGCAGATTTATGATTAAAGCGAAAAGCACACAACACGCGAATTTTGGAAATTTGATGGTGAACATACAGCCTGTCTCTTATACACATCTAGATGTGTATAAGAGACAGCCTTTAAAGAGACGTCATGAACGTAAATATTGGCGTACAGCGATGGCAGTGGTACCATTGGAAAGAGCAGAATTGCAACTTTCAGATGAGCACAAAAAC